CAGTGATACAATACTGTAAGGTAGTAGAGGTATTGATGCTGTCCTGTGATATCTTTCCTGAGGCTAACTGCTGGTCAAAAACTGATGCCTTCACAAGCCCAGGGTATTGAATGTCCTGTCACACAGCTATATAGCAGATAAAATGGCTGCAGGAAGTGACCAGAAACCAAGGCTTGCCTAAAACCACACCCAGCAGAGAAAACACTTACTAGCTATAACAGAGGCATGCAGCATGCAAATTCTGGCCAGCAGATGGCAGCAACAGATCAAGACATAGAAACAAACATGGTGAAATAAGAATTAGTGATACAATGCACAGTTAAATAACAAATATGAGGGGAACAGCACAGTAGGATGCTGTGTTGTAGAGGTCTGGAGTGAAAAGAGAGAGGCTCAAAGGAAGCTACTATCAGGTCCAAGACTCTCATGCAACAGCAGAGAGAGACAACTTATGGACATGGATAGCTTAAATCTTAGATTGAGGAGTCCAAAGTTTCTCCTGTGAAAGAAAGACTTTGGTCTGAGCTGTGTCCAGCCCCAGGATCCATATGGCCAAAAGGATGAGTTGGTTCCAAGGGCTGATTTCTGAAGTTCAGGATCATATGTACCGAACAAACAGATAAAGCAAAGCAATGCTTGCCCAACAGAGCACATGCCAGATGTTCTACACGTTATCAGGAGGTCATATAAACAACCCATAAAGGCATTGCCATGAGGGCTAGTACTGAACCAACTGACCTTGGCAAACGCCCAGAGTGCAGATGATAGGCTGAAGTGCAACGCCCAATAGAAAGTCACATGAATTAGCTGAATTGATGTGTAGTAAAGATGGGAACCATGCACCTTTTGGATTGCGAACAGATAACAGGTTGGAGTAGAACCCTTAAAACAGTTCTGCCACAGGAACCAGGACAGGGCAAGGACACTGGAGAGCACTTGATGGAGATCTGTGAAATTGTACGAAGGAAAAGAAAGAATGTAGGTGAGAATACAATGAGGGGCAGGGAGCAAAACGTCAATTTGTAGCCCTAGGTTACCAACTTCTGCACCCAATCATTTGATATGCAATCTGTGAGAGTGAGGTTAACAAGCAGAGCAGAGTTGTCCTGTTCTGGTCTACAGTTTTTTTTTTAGATCGTATCCAATGTTTCTATAGGTGGCAAGGTAACCTGAAGGTAAAAGACCTCCATTTTTTTTTTTTTTTAAGCATGCTTTAGTGTTCAATCCCTGTTACTAGTCATCTGCTTATGACTTGACATTTCAACAGTTAAACCACACAAATCAGAAGTAGACGCTACAGGCAAAGAGTGCATAGATTCTCAATATCTTGTGACTAAGCAGTTGCACTCCCCCTGCAAAAAAATGAATGAAAGTCAAAATGTCTAAACAAGCACAATTGTTCTTCAGTAGAACGGAACTCCACAGAATCCACACAAAAATTGTGCCCGCATCCATGTCATCAGATTGGAATGTTAAGCAGCAAAGTACATTGTTTTCTAAACTACTAAATTAGAAGTTATGGTGCTTACAGTAAAAAGCTGTAAATAAATGCACATCAAAATGAACTGCCATTGGCTCCCGAGATGTCTATCAAATGATGTGACCATGAAGTGGGGGTGGGGCTGAGCTGTCCTGTTTGTGTCAATAGACGCAGACAGGGCAGCTTTGAGTGAGCCTGCACACTTGCTGAAGAGGAGGGGGAGGGAGTGCCAGTGGGCGACCTGAAAAGAGGAGGATCAGGGCTGCTCTGTACAAAGCCATTGCACAGAGCAGGCATATATGACATGTTTATTACTTTAAAATAAAAACCAAACAAAAAGCTTTTTAATATCACTTTGATTTTGTTTAGCCAGTTTTCCAAACCAATGCCTAGATAGAGCCACATATTTCCCTATCTACCATGGTCGATACAGAACCCCCCTCAGAACCCCCCACTGCAATATGAAAAAAAAAAATCTTAAAAAAAGAGAAAAAATTTAATAAAAAAAAAAAATATATATATATATATATATATATATATTTTTTTTTTTTTTTTTTTTTCCGTACTGTCACCAGTCAATGTCCCTGAACACCACAACACCGGTTATCTACTGACGCTGTACTGCACTGTTTGACAGTATGAAAAAAAAAAAAAACTGAAAATATTTTTTTTAATTACTTCATTTTCCGAAAAATTACAAAAAATTACAGCTTCAAAAAACTCGCCATGCCTCTTGAGAAATACGTCGGACTGTCTACTCTGCAAAAAGGGGTCATTTGGGGGATATCTGTACTGTTCTGACATTTTTGAACCTCAAGAAATTAGTTTGGCTGTCAGTACTTTCAGATATATCCCATAGTTTGTGAACTCTGTAACTTTCCTACAGACTAAATAATAAATACTTATTTGGAAATGTAAAAGAACACATCTTGGCCTAAATTTATGAAGAACAATAATTTATTTGCAAACTTTTATAACAGAAACAAAGAAAAACGTGGGTTTTTTTCTTCAAAATCTTCGGTCTTTTTTTGTTAATTTAGCAAAAAATAAAAACCCCGGTGGTGATTGAATACCATCAAAAGAAACCTCTAGTTGTGTGAGCAAAACGATAAAAATTTAGTTTGGGTACGGTGTTGCATGACCGCGCAATTGTCATTCAAAGTGTGAGAGCGCTGAAACCTGAAAATTGGCCTGGGCAGGAAGGGGGTAAAAGTGTCCGGTATTGAAGTGGTTAAAGGAGCAAACGCACACACATGAAGTTACTCCTATGCGTTCCCCTGCTTGCAGCCATCTCCCTGTCAACTGTACAATGTACAAAAGTCAAAAGCTAAATTAAAGGCAGAGGTAGTATTTAAAATTTATATTTAATATATTTTAAAAGCATTTAAAATAAACTCAGATTTAATAAATATATAAGTAGGGTTGAGCTTCAGGCTTCAGTACACTGAGATGTGAATGGGCACCGTAGAATATACTGGAAATCCTAGTGTTGAGTGTTGAACCACTTCTGCTGAAAATTCAAATCGAGCTTCAAATTGCTCAGGTGGTCTAAGAGGTATGGGCCTTCTTTAAAAGCAAGGCATTCCTGGTACCAAAGAAAAGAGCAACCCAATATGGTGGCCTCAGATAAACCGTTTTAATGGATGAATGGGTGCGTTCTAGATGGCTCAGCTACAAATAAGATACCCACCAAAGGGATGAAACAGCAGCTGAGCTGAACGCTCTCCTCAGGCAGGAATTCAGTAATCACTTCAAAAATGACTAAGCCTGAAAACTGCTGACTTCACCGGCATTCCATCTTTTCTTTAATATCTTTCATTTGCATAGTAACCTATTTGATGTGTCATTTAAACCGGCTAGCGTTTGTAAAGCTCTGGCCCAATGCAAGACACAAGGGATCCCACTATAAAAAATGCTGCTTGAAGGAAGCAACCCCAATTGATAATGTGCTGTCTTTGAAGAATACTCAAAGCACACACTCATGGAATGTTATTGGAATGGACATCATTTTATTTTAATGGTATTATAAAAATTTCCGTTCCAGTTATGGGATTTGCACAGTTCTGCCTCATCATGCAGTCCTGTCCAGGGGAGGAGGAGACCTGATTATTATTATTATACAGTATTTATATAGCACCAACAGTTTGCTCAGCACTGTACATTATAATGGGAGACAATACACGAGACAGCACAGTAACAATACAAAACACGAGGGGTTCGAGGGCCCTGCTCCTTGGAGCTTACAATCTAGGAGGGAGGGGAGTATGGTACAGGAGGAAATAGCTGAGGGGGATGGAGTGGTGGGAAGAGTGGAGGAGATTGGCAATTAGGTGAGGGCGGGGTAGGCTTCCCTGAAGAGATGGGTTTTCAGGGTGCGCCTAAAGATGAGGAGGGTAGGTGACAGTCTGATGGATTGGGGTAGTGAGTTCCAGAGGATGGGGGAAGCCCTGGAGAAGTCCTGGAGACGGGCATGGGAGGAGGAGACCAGGGAACTAGAGAGTAGGAGGTCTTGTGAGGAGCAGAGAGTGCGTTTTGGGTGGTAGATGGATATCAGGTCGGTGATGTAGTTTGGGGCAGTGTTATGAACAGCTTTGTATGTCAATGTTAATTTGAATTTTATGCGTTGGGCAATCGGAAGCCAGTGGAGGGATTGGCAGCAGGGCGGGGGGGGGGGGGGTGGATACGGAGCGGTTAGTAAGGTGGATGAGTCTGGTAGCAGCATTCAGGATAGACTGAAGCGCGGATAGCCTGATTATTCTCTGCTGCAGTTATAATATGGGCAGCACAGTGGCTAAGTGGTTAGCACTTTCGTCTAGCAGTACTAGGGTCGTTGGTTCACATCCCAAACATCGCACTACCTGCCCGGAGTTTGCACGTTCTCCCTCTGCCATTGTGGGTTTCCACAGGTAATCCGGTTTCCTCCCACACTCCAAAGATGTGCTGGTAGGTAAATTGGCCCTAGTATGTGTGTATGTAAGTTAGGGACCTTAGATTGTACACCCCTTGAGAGAAGGGATTGATGTGAAAGTACAATATATATATGTAAAGCACTGTGTACAGTAAATTGATGGCGCTCTATTCATTACAGGTATTTACATAGCGCCGTCAATTTACGCAGTGCTTTACATATATATTGTACATTCACATCAGTCCCTAACCCTCAAGGGGGGGTACAATCTAAGGTCCCTAACTTACATTCATACATACACATACTAGGGACAATTTAGACAGGAGCCAATTAACCTGCCAGCATGTCTTTGGAGCGTGAAAGGAAACTGGAGTACCCGGAGGAAACCCACGCAGGCACAGGGAGAACATGCAGGCAGGTGGTGCTGTGGTTAGGATAGAAGTACCTGAATTAAATAATGTGCTAGTATACAATGCATATTAGCACAGGATTAGCTGTCAAACCAACCCTCCAGTGCTGTGCTGTCACCACTCCAGCTGAACCCAGGCACTTTCATCTTTCAGGGGTGTGCAAAATCACATATGTTATATATATATATATATATACACACACACGATTTTGCATTTCTGGGGTAAGGGGCGCGCGAGAGCCCCCCTATCTGCGCCACCATTGGCAGACTCACCTTTCGATCACCAGGTCCTGGCTGGTGATTCCCCACTGGTACCCGCTGATCACCATGTATCACAGACAGGGGAGAGACCGGTATGTAAACAATACATATCTCTCCCCTGTCAGCTCCTGCACACTGCTTTGTATGGCTCTGCATACAAAACAATGTGCTTACAGTGTAAAGTACACATACATCACAAACAGTAAAACAACACACAGTAAACCCTTTGATTGCCCCAGATGTTAACCCCTTCCTGCCCAGTGTCATTAGTACAGTGTCAATGCTTTTTATTAGCACTGATCACTGTATTGGTGTCACTGGAGATGTCAGTAACAGTCAGCTCCCCCCCCCCGTGTCAGAATGCCCGCCGCAGTCCCACTATAAGTTGTTGATCGCCGCCATTACTAGTATAAAAAAATAAATAAAAAATTCCAGTATATATATATCACCATTTGTAGACGCTATAACATTCACATAAACCTATTAATTTACACATATTGGGATTTTCTTTAGCAAAGACATGTCGCAGAATACATTTTGGCCTAAATTTATGTTACTGGACATGTTTAATAACAAAGTCACAAATATAGTTTTTTTTTTTCTCAAAATTGGCGATCTTTTATTTCTTTTTATCGCAAAAAATAAAAAACACAGAGGCGATCAACTACCACTGAAAGAAAGCTCTATTTGTGAGAAAAAAAAGGACATACATTTCATTTGGGTGCAGCGTTGCATGACCGCGCAATTGTCAGTTAAAGTAACTCAGCGCCGTATCGCAAAAAATTGCCTGGTCAGGAAGGGGCGTAAATCCTCTGGCGGGCAAGGGGTTAAACAGACCAAAAGGGAGCCAAACAAGAGAAATTCATTGTTAGGGTTCACATACACACTAAATGCATTATTTTAGGTCACCAATGAATAAACAGTCTATGGTCTGCCTTGCTGCTTAGAAAAAAAAAGGGAAATGAACATTTATAAAACAGGTGCAGCTTTGCAAATCAACCACAGCAAGTATTTCCTAGTACAGCAGCATGCAGTTCTTGGGTTTAAAATGAGTAAGCACCCTCATAATTTAGGCTAATATATTCATGCATCACCACAAAAGCCTTGCAGGGGATAGACCAGCAAATTAAAAAAAAAAAATTAAAATAAAAAAAAAACCTAAACAGCAACACTGGTATGGGAAAGGAGAAGTTCCTAGAAATTAGACAAACCACAAGACCCGCACAGGATGCTCATATCATCGAGCAGCACAGCTCAAAGTATATTTTAGTTAAACAAGAAAAAAAAACCTGTACAAAACAGAGTTTTGAGTAGTAGAAAGAGTAGGATTAGTTTTCAGCACTGTTGTTTGTTTCTGTGACATAAGGGGAAAAACAAAAGCGACAGGATGGGCTTCCCGTGTGGCAGAGCTGATTGGTCCAGTAATGTCGTATGATGTAGGTCACATGTTCCTTCATACTTGAAAGTACAATGAATAAAAGGAAGGTGTGGAACAAAGAAAAGGGAGTAATATGGACAGGGTGGTCAGGGTCAATATGGATGTAGGGGGTCTGAAGTACTTTCGAACGTTTGCCATGTCATCAGATGTACTGATGAGAATTTTTGTACAAATGTTTGTTCGAAGATTAAAAATCTAATAACGTATGGCAAACTTCAATCTCCATTAAAAGGTTCGGTGGTACTGGGTGTGATTATTATTATTATACAGGATTTATATAGCGCCAACAGTTTGCTCAGCGCTTTACAATATAAAGGGAGACAATACAGCAACAATACAGTTCAATACAAGAGGGATAGGCGGGCCCTGCCCCTTGGAGCTTACAACCCAGAGGTGTTCAATAGGTGACCACAACTTTTACAAAAAAAAAAAATTAAGAAAAAAAAAAGAATTTGGGCTTTAAAAAAAAAAAAAAAAAAAAAAAAAAAAAAAAAAAAGTTTACCTTTGGGAAGATGATACATATTCCAACGTTTTTTAGGGTGGAACATGTAACATGTTCCCTCACCTGTAGCCACTGCCCGCTCCACTGCATCTAGTGACAGAAAGCAGGGGATCTTCTTCTATGAATGGAAAACTACAAATACCAACAGCCTTTGCAGATGTTGGCTTGTAGATCTCAATGAACCACCATGGTGCTGTTGAGCGCTGTGGTAGTTCATTGTCTCTTCCTGCCATTGTGTATCTGCCTGCTCCTACGAGGTACGAGCACACAGATACACTGACAGTCTGCAGGAGACCTGCAATGCACCAGTGATCTGCTGATTGCGAGTGCAATGCTTTACATGCTCTAATTAAAACAATAATGAATGCACATTATTTTTACCTGCAAAAAGATGTGTTTTTTTGTTATTACACAATATTACCCCGGGGATTGCACCCTGGGATTCTAGTGCAAATGTTTAACCATTTGCCGCCCGCCCTATGGCCGAATGGCAGGCGGCAAATGTCATCAGCGTTCCGGGTAGACGCCATATGGCGTCCTCTCGCACATGCGCAGATTACGCTCCTGCAGAGCGGCGCAGCCTGTCACCGGCCATGTACCTCGGACACGGCCAATGACAGATCTGAGTATCGGCCCCGTTGCCGGTACCATGTGACCTGCTGTGACCAATCACAGCAGGTCACATGACAGTTGTATACAATGGATGGCTTCATTCATGCCATCCATTGTATGCTAGTGTCTAGCTGTGAATGGTCACAGCTAATCACATGCACATGTCATGTGATTAGCTGTGGCCAAATCACAGCTAAGCACAAAAAAAAAAAAAAAAAAAAAAAACCTGAATGAATCGATGTCATTCAGGTAAATGCTTGCTTATAGCAAAGTACTTCTTTGCTATAAGCAAATTGTGTAAAAAAAAAAAAAAATACTGATCACTTCCCCAAAGTAGTACAATGTTACTATGGTAACATTGTACTACTTTGGTCATAGTGAAATATGAAAAAAAAAAAAATCTTAAAAAAAAATATAAAAATTTAATAAAAAATAAAAATATATATATTTTTATTTTTTCATACTGTCATCAGTCAGTGTCCCTGATCACCACCATGCCAGTTATATGATGACGCTGTACTGCACTGGTGACAATATGTAAAAAAAAAATAGTGAAACTAATTTTTTTCATTTTTTCCTTTTCTGAAAAATTATGACAAAAAAAAACACAACTTCAAAAAACTCGCCATGCCTCTTATGAAGTACGTCGGACTGTCTACTCTGCAAAAAGGGGTCATTTGGGGATATCTGTACTATTCTGACATTCTTTGACCTCAAGAAATTAGATTGGCTGTCAGTACTTCAGGATTGATCAATATTCAGATATATCCCATAGTTTGTGAACTCTATAACTTTCCTACAAACTAAATAATACATCCAAATTTGGGTTATTTTCACCAAAGACATGTAGCAGAATACATCTTGGCCTAAATTTATGAAGAACAATTATTTATTTGCAAACTTTTATAACAGAAACAAAGAAAAACTTTTTTTTTTCAAAATTTTTTTTTTTTTTTTTGTTAATTTAGCAAAAAATAAAAACCCCAGCGGAGATTAAATACCACCAAAAGAAAGATCTAGTTGTGTGAAGAAAATGATAAAATTTTAGTTTGGGTACAATGTTGTATGACCGCGCAATTGTCATTCAAAGTGTGAGAGCGCTGAAACCTGAAAACTGGCCTGGGCAGGAAGGTGTAAAATTGCCCGGTATTGAAATGGTTAAACTCCGCTGCGGCTCTAAATTTCCCATGATACCAGAAATTCAGGGCAAGTCATGTTTTGCTCGTTTTCTAGGAAACTCAGCATTTGACAGCACCATATGATTTTATATCTGGAATTATAATTAAATTGTTATATGGGTTATCTTTAACCCCTTCATGGCGAGGGTGAAACAAATCATAATGCCTGAACAGTTTTGCAACTTTCACATGTGAGAAAAAGTGTACATATCATCACAGCTTGAGTATCCAGCTGGAATGTACTTTTCTGGACAAATTGGGCTTTCATTTATCAAAATAAAACCGGCACAAAATTGTAAAAAAAAAAAAAAAAAAAAAGTAATTTTTTTTAAATTTAGTTGTATATTTCTTGCTATTATGATAAACTACCACCAAAGAAAGACCCAGTTCCTGGACCTAGGGTTCTTGGTGAAAGCCCGATCCTTGTGCTGGGAACACGATGTGCAGTGCGCTCCCAACACGTTAGCAAATATGTGGCCTCATGAAAGAAGACCTACTTCAGTGAGGCTGCATATAGGTGAACATGTGGCTGGAGGGGGTTAAAGTATAATATCCCAAAGGCAAATTATCTTGGATATCCACAAATGGCTCATTGTTTTGTTTTACCAGTGAACCCCACCTACCCTGCAGTGCACACAGGTTGAGGTTGATAACATCTAGAAATAAATGCTTGTGCAAAAGGAAAAGACTACTACTGCACCGGTCACCACATGCAGGGGGTAGGGATTGTAGGAAGGAAGAGAGGGAGCGGGGGGGGTATAGGGTGGGAAGGGTCCAGCTTGTGGAAGTATCAATGCTACGATATCAGACGAGACAAGTTCTCAATTTTGATCCAGGTGCTCCATGTTACAATAAAGTTTTGGTATTGATCCATTTTATCAATGAATAAAAGACTTCCCAGGAATGTCTGTGGAGGAGTTTATAGCATTATCCACCCCTCTCCACCTCAACCATTCAGAGGAAGCCTTGTTTTAGTTGACAACAAAGCTTCCTTTGACTAGCTGTGCAGTGATCAGTCTGACTCAGTTTTGTTCCTGGAATGAGAAGTCCCCATCCCGTTGCTGGAACACAGCGCTGTATTTATTTATTTCAGGTACTTATATAGCGCCATCAATTTACACAGCGCTTTTACATATATATTGTACATTCACATCAGTCCCTAACCCTCAAGGGATGTACAATCTAAGGTCCCTAACTCACATTCATACATACCCATACTAGGGACAATTTAGAAAGGAGACAATTAACCTACCAGCATGTCTTGTGGGAGTGTGGGAGGAAACTGGAGTACCCGGAGGACACCCACGCAGTCACAGGGAGAACATGCAAACTCCAGGCAGGTGGTGCCAGGGTTGGGATTCAAACCAGCGTCCCTAGTACTGCTAGGCGGAAGTGCTAACCATTTAGCCACTGTGCTGCATATAGTGTATAAAGCCCTGACAGCGGATGCAGCAAATAATCAAGGAAATGGTTCATAAAGGCCAGCTTGACCCACACAAACTAACATTACACAGCTTTGGCTTTAAGTACAGACCTAGCCTCAGACAGTTTTCTATGTCAAGTCTGTGTGTGCTAAACAACATAACAAATGTTTATTACCTATCAAAGATTACAGTGATCCTGCCCCCCAAATAGGCTGGCACCATCTTTGC